AGCCTTCACTGGGAAACACTTAACTAAGTTTAGTCTGAAGTCTCCTCTTTGTGGATGTACTAAGTCTCTGGCACTGAACTGGTGGTGAGGAGAGTGGAAAGAAGCTTCCACTTCTTGGAAGGATTTTCAAGTCACGTGGATGTGAAAACAGCGTTATCTCCATGTGTCCCCTCGCACCAAACTTAAAGTGTCAAACTAGCTTCTGTAGACCCTTTGCCAAAGGGTCATGGGCCAAGATGTGCTGGGCTGGTCGAAGGGTGATGATACACAGAAAAAAACCTTCTGGAGTCTCAGCTGAGCTGCAAATGGAGCAGGCTGGTGGAGCTGGACTCTGACCTGCTCATAACTGCTAACCAGGGGTCTGTCTCGCCAGACCTGCCTTGGAAGCTCAGTGCTCCTTTCCAAAGGAATCCTCAAACTCTAAACCAAGATGGAGCCATATTTGGGTTTCTTCCTTGTCATTATAGGCGCTCTATTTTCCAACCACTGAGTGAACTTACCAGTGTCTAGGCTGGCCCTGCCTTTGGCCAGTAAAATAGTGAACCATGGTATTACTGGCGTATTCCTGAGATTGTTCAGAAATGTTTTTGTGGGTAGAATGGCCTCAATTTCCTATCATTTCACTACCTAAGAATTTCCTCTGCACTGACTTGCTTTTCTCTCTTTTAATAGCAAGAATGCTATAAGACAAAAAAACCAAAACAGATATCTTAAAATGCATTGTATATCTAGTCATGGTGAGCAGAATTTGCTTTTCTTCCAAGCAGTTTGTTGACACAGGCTTTTTTTGAAAAGCATTACAAATGTCTTCAAACTCTTTACCTTAAACTTTAGTATCTCCTTGTTTAACACTGCTGTTCCCAAATGGGCTTGGGCATAGGTGGAGTCTAAGATGGGAGCATTTGTTTTGCATTATCTTACTGGGTTTGGGTTTTTTTTTACAGTGTCTTATGTGTCTCTTTTTTTAAAGAAATCTCCTTTTATGCATATTTGAGGGGCCGGAGCGGAGCTGCAAGGAGAAGCTCCATATCTGGGCAGGAAGTCCTGCTGACCAGGCAGCCCGCAAACAGGCAGCGGCGCCTGTTATGTTTGGCCCCTGCACAGGGATGGAAATGAGAGTGGCTCAAACCTCCCTCTGCTTCTGAGGGAGCAAGGAGTAACGCTGTCCTCCAAACAGAGACGTGGCTGTGCTTCCAGTCGTCGCGAGGAGATGCTGCCCGGAGGGGTCCGAGCTCGCAGGGGATGGATATCCAGTGATGGATCACTGTCCCGTCCCTGCGTGGAGGGGCTCGGGTCCGTTTGCTCCTGCTGCCCTGGCGAGGTCTGCCTGTGCCACAGGGATGTCCTGAGACTTCACGGGGCCACCTGAGCTGCCCTGGAGGCAGCGGTGGGATGAGCCGCCATCCCAGTGCCGTCCCCTCCTGCTGCAGACCTCCACCTCGGAGGGCAGGTAAACCTGAGCTGTCTCAGGAGCCACGTGTTGCCGTGAAGAGCCTCTCAATTTTTGCATCGTTTCCCCCATGTTTTCCTGTACCTTCAGACTCTCGGCTATCTTGCACGGTGAGGAGCGGCGAGTCGTGCCGCTGACACCTGCAGACAAGAGTTTCCAGGGAGATCTGGTGTTCCTGGCTGCAAAGGCATGGGCGAAGTGCACAAATGGGAGGGCTGGTGACCAGGTCTTCTGCTAGTGCCTGAAGCTGTATGTGGCCAAAGATCAGGGCTAGGACTTGTTTAGTTTTGTCTTAAGGAAATGGATGATCGGCTTCTGTACACCCCAAAGGCAAGGATCGCCTGTTGATGCCAACAGTTTGTTCTTCAAGTGAAACAATAATGGCAGTTTAAGATAAGACCTGAGACTTTGCTGTGTTAAATGTGATCCTTTTTACTGTATTTGTTTGGACTGAATAAATGTGTCACTGCAGCGAGACAGCAGTGGAAGTTCAAAAGCAGTTCCTGGGGTGCTGGCAGAAGGTGGACGGGTGCAGCCTGCCTGGCTTCAGCTGGTCCGGTAAGCCTTAACGGACTGTCGGAAGCAGTTGTCGGACCTGTCCATCCATCTGTGAGCTGGCTGTGCGGTCCGTGGTGTGGGGTACCACCCGTTTGATCCCAGCTCTGCCAGCTGGGAGGCTTCAGGATGCTCGCCCTGCCCTTGGTGACGGACAGTCATGCCCAAGCCATCGCGTGGCAGTGTTTGGAGTCAGGTAGGTGTCTGGAACAGATCCAGCAGCCTGGACACAGACCCTCCAGTTAACTGGGGTGATGGGTAGTGCCAGCCTGCTCTGGAGAGCGGGTACAAGGGTGATCTGGAGCGTACTGATTCAGCAGGTACTTCCATGGGGTTTAGACTGAGTAAAGAGCAGTTAACCTCAAACTTGGACCTGGGACATGAAGCAGAAGTCATATTTGGACAAGTAGAACAAATTACCAGGTTGAATAAATTACCAGGAAAGGATCTTGTTAACACCAAAGCAATAAAGTGAAATACTGGCTTTATGTATTAATGTGGAGGTCACAGGCTGGTGGCCACCCCCAAATGACTAAGAGTTCCTGCACTGACACTTGGACTGTGAAGCATCAGGTTGTCTTGTTGGGGGTTTGTGTACTGGTTCTTGCTAGTGACAATGCTTTTCCCTTTGCTTTCCCCCTTGTATATAATGGAACTTTTTCCAAGTAAGTTTATTTAATCCAGATGTTTGTATTAAATAAACAACCATTCATAGTCCCTTGCCTATACTCAGCTTCTGTCTGACTCATTAAGATCAGAGTTGGTTAAAGCCCCCTATCAGTTAGTAGGCATCTAGCACATGGTTCCAGAACTGGCAAGATTGTAAGTGGTCTGTGCTGGACTCTTAAATGTTTTTATCTCTTCTGGAGAGCTGCCACATACCTGAAGAATCAAAAAGTCCTATTTTTCTGGATGTTAGAGGCAGGGTGGAGTGTGTGTGCATGTTAAGACCATTTTTAAGATGTATTTTTATGAATTCCCATGGTGAGAAGTCTTTTCACTGGCTTCAAAGTATCTGGAAAAACAGCAGGGGAGAAATGAGGTGAAAACTACAGGTGAAAGCTGAGGCACAAATGAAATAGCAGTCCTGTGGGCAAAGTGAGCTGAAATGGGGCATTTTGTACCCTTTGGGCTGTCCTTCTCGAGGATGAGCAGTCTTCTATGGAGACTTAATAGTTTTGCGGGGAAAAAAAAAGTGTGTAAAGGCTTGTTGTCTACCTTAAAATTGGCAAACCAGTGTGTGGCCATTCCTAGAACCATCTGTTCATACAAGCTTTGTCCTTATTAGCAACACTGGGTTTTCCAAGTAAATTAAATGTCTTTCCTAACTTAGTGCCATCAAATAACCTTTTCCTCCTGAAAGCTGCAGAATGAGTTTGAGTGTCAGAGGAGACCTCAGGGTGCCCCAGGTCTGTGCAGGAGCTTTGAGGAGCTGGGGAGCTGCAGAGTGGGGAGAGGAGCTGGGGCAGGAGGAGGTGTAATATTGATTTCAATAGTGTATGATCTTGTAATGAAAGACTATTGTAATACTGAAACACACATGGACTAGATTAAGATTGCATAAAAGGGCAACACCCTTCTCCAGCAATAGAAACCTCTGCAGCCTCAATTGTTCTTCTGATGGGCTCTAAATGTGTTCACACAAATGAATAGTCAATGCCTAGAACAAGCTTGTATTTTTGAGAGGGATTAAAGATCTTCTGCAAAAACTTGATGAATGGGAGCAAGCACCAAAAAGGGCATGGTGGTGTGAGACTTGTACATGTTAAGCCTTAATGGAAAATGCAGAATGCGGGGTCTAAAGTGGTCAGAAAATTGCAAGACTCGCACTTTATAATGCTTCTTGAGGACTGAAAGTATTGGGTTTTTTGCGGAGGTGGATGACCACCCTGTAGTTTAATCTCTGGCTGCACAGGGTCAGATCTGCTGACATGAGGTGAAGCTGCTGGGATGCTGCCGTTGCTTCTGCTGGGGGTGCGTGTCCTGGGGGTGAGACTGTCCTTGTTTTCCATAAGTCTGTTTTTACAGGGAACAAACATGTCTATCAGACAGGAGTCTGAGAGTTTCTGTAAAAACAACCAGGCTGAGAAATTCAGGGTCCCATAGAGTCACTTTTCCCTGGTGCTTCCTGCAGTACTTTGTTTTTGTCTCCCATCATACCCTCCTGCATTCTTCACATCCAAAAAGCCCTGTTTGATAAATCCATGGCACAGACACTAAAATAGGTTTATTTTCCAATGTTCTTGGCTCCTGTTGTGGTGTTTTGCACTTGTCTGTCTCCTTTTGGGAGGTTATTAGGACTGTCTCTGTGCAGCAGTGAGCACACATGTATATAAAGTGACTTTCTTCTGCTTTCAGTGAGCAGCAGAAAGTTCAGCACAACCATAGTCCTTTTTTCCCCTCCCCTGCCTTCCCTCCCCGGAGCCTTTCCTTGCTGTGTTTCCTGTTCACCGTGGAAACCACCCGTTAAAGCCCAGTGCCAGAGGTGTGGAAACATGCCACATTCCCAAAATACACTTGAGTCCCTGTAGAAAGACCAAGGAGATCCAAGCTGCAGTAAAGCAAGGTTATAGCAATGCACCTCCCAGTCTCACTGCATGAAATTTCTGATTTGCACAGATTCATACACAATATATAAGCTGAATCAAAATAACTTTTAATGAGCCCTGAGGCCTCTGTGCATGAGATTAAGGTGGCTGTCCAGTGTGTGTGCGTTCACTGTATTTGATGTGCCATCCCCCCCATGCTGTTCCAGATGTGCCATCGTCCTTCACTTTAAGCTGAAAACCTTCATCCCAAGCATCCTAAATAAACTTGTAGCAGGTCTGCATGGTCAGTGGTCAAATGGTGTTTGGGAGGTTTGAGGGTTCACAGGGCATAAGGCATGGCTGAAGAAATCAATGTCTGAAGGACAAAACACAATTATTAGTACTCTAGACTCAGATAATCTTTGAGGATAAAGCCTTTCCAACTCCAGTGTCCCGTTCTTTTCCAGATGTCGGTGAGCCAGCCGCAGTCAGGAAGAGGTGTGCCGTGTTTACGCTGCAGAGGGACATGCATGGGCTTCGAGCCACATTCCTGGAGGTAACGTCTTGGCCTTGATGGGCCCTGCCCTGACACTGTCCCTTTGGTCCTGTTGATATTCAGATTCCAGTGACTTTGAGTGCAAAGAAGAACTGCAGAGCACTTCAGTGTGGTGGTGGGAGGTGCAGAGAGGACACACTGGCTGGCTGGGACAACTGCTGAGTGGAGAAGATGCTCATGCTCCCTGCCGTCCATCCCCCTTCCCTCACTAGTCCTGCTCTTTTATTTTCTGAGTTAAAATCTCATCGACAAGCTGAGGCTCTCACACAGTGGGGTTTTTTTCTGATTTTGCTAATGTTGCCTGCTCCCTGGGAGTTGAGACTATCTTTGCTAGGCTGGGTGCAGGTCTTGGCAGCAAGCTGTGGCTTGGGAAGAGGAGAAAGCCGGGGTGAGAGATGGCTCAGCCTGCAGAAGGGTCTCGCCTGCCACGGAACCGTCTCCGGCACCGTCCTGCGTGGCTGGTGCTGTTCAGTGGGACGTCAGGAGTGGGACACGGTGCCGAAGCTGCTGCACGTCGCGCTCGCACAAGCCGCCCGATGCCCTGCGCAGCGTGCGTGCTGGAGCGCGGGTCCTCTGCCTGCTGCACGCTGGCTTCCCAGCCTGTCAGATTGTTTGGAAATGAATTAGTGAAAACGAATGTGCCCTTACTTGCTTTGGAGGCAGGGAAATGCTGACCAAAAGGATAATCTGGTGGTGTTGGTAGGAGATGTGCCGAGTGCCTGGCTGTCACCCTCATCCTTGAGGGCGAGCATGGGTGCAGAGCTGGCAGAGTGAAACAAAACCGGTGGTGAGGGCTCAGTGCTGTGTCCCACTTGGCAGCGCTGTGGTGGCTGTTGCTGCTGGCTGTCCTGAGCATCTCGATGGCTGTAATGCTATGCTCGGTGCCAGAAATTACTTGTTATTTGATACTTTATTTTCAGTGTTTTTCCTCTTAAAAACACTAATTTAGGTAAATAGCCACCCAGTATCAGTAGCTGGTGGAAACCGACCAGGGCTGCATGTTTGGTTCTGGGCATGGGCAGTGGGCTGCTGCCCTGCCCTATCTGCTTGCAAACCGAAATGGGAGAAACAAAGGGGCTTTGAAAGGGAAGGGAGCTATCCAGATGTCATTAATTAAACAGGAATTAGTGCCCTCTGAGGTTGTCTTGCAAAACACTAGACTCTTTTCTGTGAGCCTGGAGAACTCCTGTTTGGTGTGGGCTGCACAGCTGGGTCCTGTCGCAGCGGTGCGCAGGAGCCCGCAGTCTGCAGGTGTGCTGTCTGTGCTGCTGAAATGCTTCAGGAGGCTTCACGATGGTGGTCTGCAGTTGTGTCCTGCAGCCTCCAGTTACCACTTTCAATACCCCAGCTGTCTGGAAATCTAAACTTAAAAACACTCTTTTGGTTGAATCACTTTTTTTTTTATTGACTCAAAGGCTGGTTGAATCATAGTTGTTTCATGATCCTGCTGAAATACTTGGGGTTGCATCAGAGTCAGTTTGTCCTTTTTGCTATTAGCATTTGATGGAAAAGCTGGCCAGGAGAGAGTCGCCTTACAGACTTGTCTTTAGGATTTGTAGCTATTATAATTAAAATGATAGACACTTAAGTAGATTCCTCTTTTAGCAGTCACTTTTTTTAATGGCATGTAAAACTTTGTAAGAGGCAAGGCTAGCGCCTGGCTGTTGGAGACTGGTGAGGGTGGGAGATTTAGTGATGCTTGAAGGAGTTTTCGAAGTTCAGAGAAAGTGGCAGCTCCCTGTGGTGGGTGGGAGGCTGCAGTCTATCAGGGCTGCTGCGGCTGCTTTCGCCTGGGGATGGCACTTAGGAGTTCGTAGCTTTCTGCTCCGTGCTGCTGCCGATCCCTCTGGGATGAAAAGCTGAACAGGAGCCAGCAATGTGCATTTCCAGCCCAGAAAGCCAACTGTATCCTCGGCTGCATCCAAAGCAGCATGACCAGCAGGCCAAGGGAGGGGATTCCGCACCTCCGCTCTGGTGAGACCCCACCTGCAGGACTGTGTCCAGCTCTGGGGTCCCCAGTACAAGAAAGACATGGACCTGTTGGAGCGGGTCCAGAGGGGGGACACAAAAATGATCCCAGGGCTGGAGCACCTCTCCTGTGAAGACAGGCTGAGAGAGTTGGGGTTGTTCAGCCTGGAGAAGAGAAGGTTCCGGGGAGACCTTAGAGCAGCCTGCCAGTACCTAAAGGGGACCTACAGGAAAGGTGGGGAGGCACTTTTTAGTAGGGCCTGTAGCAATAGGATGAGGAGTAATGGTTTTAAACTGAAAGGGGGAGATTCAGACTAGATACAAGGGAGAAATTTTCTACAACGAGGGTGGTGAAACACTGGAACAGGTTGCCCAGAGCGGTGGTGGTTGTGGTTTAACCCCAGCCGGCAACCAAGCCCCACGCAGCCGCTCCCTCACCTCCCTCACAGTGGGATGGGGCAGAGAATTGGAAAGGTGAAAGGGAGAAAACTCGTGGGATGAGATAAAGACAGTTTAATAGGGAAAGCAAAAGCCATGAAAAGCCATGCACACAAGCAAAGCAAACCCAGGAATTCATTCCCCACTTCCCACAGGCAGGCAGGTGTTCAGCCATCTCCAGGAGATCAGGGTTCCATCATGTGTCATGGTAACTTGGGGAAGACAAATGCCATTGCTCCAAATGTTCCCCCCCTTCCTCATTCTTCCCCCAGCTTTATCTGCTGAGCATGAGGTCCTATGGTCTGGAATATCCCTGGGATCAGTTGGGATCAGCTGTCCCAGTTGTGTCTGCTCCCAATTCCTTGTGCCCTGCCCCCCCCCCGGTGCCTCCTTGCTGGTGGGACAGGGTGAAGAGCAGAAAAGCCCTTGGCTGTGTAAGCACTGCTTGGCAGTAATGAAAACATCTGTTATCAACACTGTTTTCAGCACAAATCCAAAACATAGCCCCATGCCAGCTACTGTGAAGAAAATTAACTCTATCCCAGCCAAAACCAGCACAGTGGCAGGTGCCCCATGCCTGGAAACATTCCAGGTCAGGTTGGACAGGGCTCTGAGCAACCTGGTCTAGTGGAAGGTGTCCCTGCTCATGGCAGGTGGGTTGGACTAGATGACCCTTAAAGGTCCCTTCCAGCCCAAACCATTCTATGATTCTGTGAATTCTGCTGAATTCCTGTGCCTGGCTCAGGGCACAGGAGCCTTTTGTCTTATGCTGTAACCCAGGTCTGCGTTTAACCTTTGGAAGAGGCTGATGCTCCGTGGCTGAGCCATCGCATGATTGCATGCCTCCCAGAGCCCAGCTCTTATCAAAAGGATGGTCTCGCTTGTCACCCACAGGAAAATCTGTAAGTCGTGCAAATGCAGCCAGGAGGATCACAGCTTGAGCTCAGACGTGGAGGACGATCGGAAAATTGGGCGCCTGCTGTCAGACTCCAAGTACGCCACGCTCACCGCCCGGGTGAAAGGAGGTGATGGCGTTCGCATTTACAAAAGGAACCGCATGATCATCACCAACCCCATCGTCTCTCGGAAAGACCCCACCTTTGACACCATCACATACGAGTGGGCTCCACCAGGGCTCACCCAGAAGCTGGTAAGACAATCCACAGCGCGTTTGGTGGGTAGTTTGTGTCACTTAATGGAGACCACAACTCGGCTCTGGAATAAAGTTATTGGGGAAAATAGTAAAACATATGGCTTGCCTCCGAGAGCAGAAATGTATGTATCACTTCATATTTTGGAAAACCGCATAAATAACCAGAGTAGGTAGGCGGGAGAGGGGAATGGATTGCCTTTGGGTTTTTATAGGTTTGCTAACATTTCTAGGAGAAGTCTTACTGGGCTTTACAACTAGAAAGCTCACTACTATGGTAAAGCTCATGTCCAGTAAAAACATTGCTGAGGAGAGATCCCATCTCTGCTGTCCTGCCAGTTGTACAATGCCCGTGCAGCCCACGCAGGCGTTTGCATGCTCCAAAACCCCCGGCTGGATGTGGGAGCGATTCTTCCAGACCTTCCTGGGGTGTCTGGGCTGGGGTTTGGTCCTCTCCCTAAACACCCCCAGGAGGGCACCAAGGAGGAGGCAAAAAGCCATGCAAGCTGTGGGACACACACAAGGACCATGAGTCAACTCCAGAGACCTGTCTCCATGCTTCTAAAACAATGGGGGTCTGGACCGGACTTTTGGAGAAGCAGCGGAGACAAGCTATTTGGGTGATTTATTTGGGCAGGAGTTGCCTTGGGCTTTGACTTCCCTGTTGGAGAGGGAGGTCCTGCCTTGCTTTTTGAGTCTGATCTCTTTTGTAAGTCTGGATGCGAGCCTGTCCCGAGGTCAGCCAGCGCAGGTAGAGGTAGCTACACTTCCATAAACCTGGAGGGGTTTTTCAGCAAACACTTCAGGAAATTATACTTTACTCTGTCTCAAAAGCAGAGAAATTAAATCAATGTGGAAAGAAGTAATGCTGCATCTAAATCCAGCGCTGTGTTTGTAAATTATTCTGTTATGGATATAGGCTTTAAGGGCAAAATAACTGTTGTCTTTAATATGGTAATTATTCTCTTTGCTAGCTGAGGTAGTTATTAAAATCTTGGACTTAAAATAGGCCTGGCATCTCAGGTTTATTAGCCAGGAGCGCAACTAGTGCTCACTTGTGTCTCTGTAGATCACAGAATGGCCCTAAACCTCCCCAGAACGCAGCCTTGTTTCCTGTTGAATGCTGCATCACCTCAGCCCCAGATGAACATCTGTAGGAATACTGAAACAGAGCCAAAACAGCGTGCTGACAGTGCTTTGTGCCTTAGCTTCTCTGTAACGCTGTCGTCTTTAACTTTGGCTCAGATTTGCTGGATAAGTGGAGAAGAGGGGAAAGGGGGTTTAAATTCTCCATGTGGTGGGCAGCGTGATGCTGGGTGGGCAGCTGGGTAGTTGTGCCTCAGGGTTCCCCGTCTCCTGCTCGCAGAAGAGCATCACGTCAGTGGAAAACCTCCAGCAGCAGCCCAGGGCAACCGAGCAGAGCAGTGGGCTCGGAGCCCCTGTGCCCAGGGACCCTCCTGACACCCCTGCCGAGGTGCAGCAGCAGTCTGTCCCTGTCCCCAGCAGACTTGCAGAGCTTCCCCCTGCGAGGAACAGGAGCGGGAAGGCTCGTCGTGCCAAGGTGTGCTGGCCTGGAGGAAAGCTAAGCTGAGCTCTGCGGCTGAGAGCATCCTGCCTGCGTGGGCATGAGCCCTGCCTGTCGCTGCTGCCTGAGGAACCCCTCCCAGATTCAGTACTGGAGCTGGGTTTTTTTTTTTCATTACAGCTAAACATAGTCTGGTCCAAATAAAAATATTTCTTTGGGTTTTGTAAAGAGAAGTCAGGGTAAAAAGGGGAGAATGGGGACTGTGGTCGCATGCTGAGGGCTGGATCTGGAAACAAGCCCCCAGCCCAGTCCCTCCTTCCCTCCTGCGCCTGGTTTCTGTCTGGGCAAGCAATATTGCTGTGTGGGAACGAATGGAAGTGGTTTTCGGTGTGTGGAAGTGTTAGCCAGCAGTGTGCTTCTTGAGGGAAAGCGCTTAACTGGCTTTTAACTGTGTTGTGGTACTAAAAACATTATATATTACACTGTCATTAGTGGACAGCTTTTACTCTTCAAATTAAACAAATAGTTTAAAGCTGCTGAAAATTGCAACCAGATTTTTTGAAGAAGAATTGGGGAAACAAATGTGAAATTGCAGCCGCAGACCCAAGAGGCAGACTGTGATTATTTCTTAAAACTCCGTTGCCCTCACCCCCTTGGAAAGGCTGACTGGGGGTGACATGAAGTCTGTTCTGGGAATGCAGTTGGGGCCCGTGGTGCTGACTGGGGCAGACCACTGGGCTTTAATGAGGGACCGAGACCCTCACGCATCTGACTGCCCGGCTGTTTAATCGCAGCACTGCTGCTCACAGCCTCCTCTTCTTCCCCTTGTCTCTGGTAGGAGCTGGCCCAGCAGGAATGTTTGTTTAACCAGTGTTTGTCTTCCACGGGTCCCGTGGGGCATCGGGGAGTCCGTGAGGGATGGGGAGAACAATGATGGCACTCTTCCCACCCAGCCTGATTCATTAAGCACGCTGCCCAGCCTGGGATTTATCGGGAGCCCGGGTTTCACTGCTCCGCAGGCTGGGTCGGCTCCTTGCTGTGAAAAAGGATGCCCAAACCCTGCCGCTCCTGGGCTGCTTTCTTCTCCTACGGGCCTGAACCCCGACCGTACCCCCTTGTGAGTGCGTGTTTGGGGTGATCCCGAGTGCAGCCCTGTGCAGGGGGGGGGCAGCTGGGGACCCCGGCAGCTCCCCCCACCCGCAGCAGCAAACTCTGTCCCTGCGGTGCTGGTGAGGGCCAGCTCAGGGTACGTGCTTCGTGAAAGCTTTGGGACTCTAAAGAGCGCCTCAGCAGACTGGAGATGTCTTGGTTCAAGTAAACGAGGTGCAGGAGCTTTGAAGACAACCTTGATGAATTCTAGCTTGAAGATCAACTTGACAAACTTTGAGGAGAATGGCTGACATCCAGTCTTTCTCGGGATAGTTTAAAAGGGATTGGGGCCAAAAGCTTTTAGTGCATAACTGACTCGCTCCAGTGATTTCCTTCTGAAGGCAGGCTGGAAACTTGGGATTGTTTTTAATATTGTTGTCCTGAAGTGGATGGTCCAATAATAGGAGGAAGTTCAGAGCATGTTTTTGTTGAGCTGTGCCTGGAGAAGTTATGAAGTGGATATTCAGGGTCCTTGGGGAAAGTGAAAAGAGCAGATCATAAAATATCTCCAAAATCCAGTAGTTAGCAGTGAAAACCTAAAATGTTCTTCCTCAAAATTATCTGCGCTAAGGCGTAGTAAAGCATTTGTCCGTAATAATACATGGTAGCAGCAGAAGAAATGATGTTTAGTTATTCTTCGTGTCAGTTTTTGGTGTCAGGTTGAATTTTTTTCCCTGATCTATTCTCTGGCCACATTTTATGACATCTGCAATTGTAACTTTAAGCATTCCCTTGATCAGGGAGTGAAATCCCACCACATGTCTGGGCAGATATTGAAACCTGCAACTGAGCAGTCCAACTGTACTTTTAAGAAAGGCTTGAGACTTTGCTTTTCTCTCTCACTTTCAGCGCAGACATTTTGTATTGGCGATGGAGAGTCTGGTGCTGGAGTGGAACAAGGCGCTTCAGATACACGTGCTGGTGCAGTGCTATTCTTGTAGCTCTGGTAGAAGTGTTCATTAGTCTTGGCCCATTTGTAGTGGATTAAGAATTTCTTCCATTAAGATCCTACTGTGTTACTACTCTGCTAGTGCTCTTGCTGTGACTGAACCAGGCCAGTGCAGACTGCATTGCATACACTGTCTTAATGTTCACGGTCATACAGCGTCAAGGTTTTGGTTGCTGTTCTTGCCAGTTGTCAGATACCACTGGCAGTATCCTTATTTTGTGGGGCAGTGTCTGTGTGAGGCCTGGGAGGAGCTGTCAGGGAGTTCTTGTCTCTTGCTTCTGTAGTTCCTATTAGGATTTCTCACTTTCTGTGAAAGCCATCTGTGCACCAGATCACTTCTACAGCATCCTGCAGCTCTCTAACCAGCTATTCCCAAGCAGCACCTTCTCCCACAGGGTGACAGCCCTCCCCCAGTAAACTTCTGGATATCAATCCTGCGATTGCACAGAGGCACAATGCATTGAGTGTTGATGTCTAATATAATGTGCAGCGATGTTAACATGCACTCCAAGAAACAGGGAAAAATCCCTGCCTCCATTAAACCATTTACCTATTGCTTTTGCAAATCTTCAGGCAGGAATCTTGCCCTGCAATGCTGCTATCTGACTGAAAGTAGCTGAGGTGGAAGGTGACTTTGAAGTTTTTACAGATGTCATGAGTTGTTCAGTGTTGTGCACACTTTTCTGTGTTTAAAAAGCTGTACTGAACCAAACTATGTACAGTAAACAGTTAATTGCTTCTCTACTTTCTTAAAATTCAGTTTTCAAATGCTGACCAAGTAAGAAACAAATCTAATGCAGCTGGATGCTGGTCTTTAAAATGGAATGGCAGAGAGCCAACTGGCTGCCCCTTAGCTCTTCACACTACAATAGGAAAATGCATTGAGTGGGAAACTCCCTTCCCCTTAGCACCAGGCCAGAAGAAGTTAACTGTACAGACCCCACTGTCCTGTAAATGCTAATTCAGTGTGGGACAGACCTCTTGCAAGATCATGATTTTCTCTGCTGTTTTTTTTTTAAGATGGTGGCTAGTGGCCAGTTGAGCAGGGGACTTCATTTGGGCTAGTTTCTTGGCATTTACTTTCCATGTTGCAGGGCATCAGTGACCAAACACCTTCCCTTTACTGAGGAATCAATAGTTGGGTAGAGTTGGTGGCTGTCTGTTACATACAGACTCAACTGCTATCTGACCACTTTTTCTTGTATTAAGATTTTTTTATTGATAAAAGGGGATCTTTTACAGTAAAATTATGCAGTGTGCAGCTGAGGGCTATGGGGTGCTCTTGGTGCAGCCTCTGACCCGCTCCCTGGAGCTCTCCCCATCCTGGCATGAGGCAGTGAGAAGCTGGCTGGGCTCAGGTTTTGATGTTTATGGGTTTCTGGTCTCTTCAGCAGGCGTGTTGTCAAATTACCTGAAATAGTAGCAAGCTAGTGCTGGCAAGGGAGGGTGTGTTGGAATCTGGGTGCGAACTAATGAAGCAAGTCTTTGCTGCTTTGCTTTCCTGAGGAGCCTGTTTTTTGGTTTGGGGTTGTTTTTGTTTCAAAAACAAACCCCAAAATCCTCAAAAACCCCACCCAACCTGTTTTCTGAGGATAAAATGATCACCAACAGCCTGGCTGCTACTTGCATCTGTGTTAAGTTCAGGCTTTTTTTTCTGAAGTGTAGGTTAGACCAACTGGAAGGGAGGGGCAGGGGCACGTTTTCTGCCACCGCTCCATCACGCAAGCGGAGCATCTCATTACAAAGCACCCGTGCGAGGAGAGCTCGTGCTTCCCCGCCGGAGGGGTCTCGGGGTGACTGTCGGTGCTCTCTCCCTCCCAGGCCATGCAGTACATGGAGCTGATCCCGAAGGAGATGCAGCCGGTGGCGGGGACGGACGGGGCGTACTATCGCCGGCGGCAGCTGATGAGACAACTCCCGCTGTACGACCAGGACCCGTCCCAGTGCCGCGGCCTCGCCGAGGGCGAGCTGAAGCTGATGGAAGACTTTGTGAAGAAGTACAAAGCCGAGGCGCTGGGCGTTGGGGAGGTGGCCCTGCCGGGCCAGGGCGGCGGTGGGAAGGAGGAAGGGAAGCCGCAGGACAAGAGCATCGCTGCCGGCAAACCCCCCGAGTCCACCAACGGGGCCCTGGAGAGCGCGCCCGCAGGAGGGGACTACGTAAGTGCTGCGGCAGCGGGACGGGCTGGCGGGGGCGTCCCGGCTCCGCTCTGAGTTTGGGGAGCTCGCAGGGTATAGACTTGGCCTCAGCTAGAGGGGGGAGAAGGTTGCACCAGCCAGGGTGATCTGTTCCTCGTTCACGGTCCTGATCCTGCGGGCATCTCCGAGTCTGCTGCAGTGATTTTTTTCAAACTACCGGAGCGGTGCTGCGATGCTCGGTTGCGTCGTGGTGTGCTTTGGTACAGCACTGGGAAAGACCCCGGTGGGTCGCCTCGCGTGCTCCTGCCAGCCCTGCCGAGCACCGGCGTCCGTCTAATGGGTGAGGAGGGGTGGGTTGTCTCCTCTCCGCCATCTCCCTCCCTCCACGGCAAAAGCTGTGCCGAACCACCAAGGTAAGTAAACTTTCCATCAGCTGTAGGAGCCAGTGGTTTCAGCTTTGGATTCTTGGCAGCTCTGAAGGGCTGGGCGTGACATGTCCCTGGAGGATTGTGCATCAGTCAGGTACTCGAGATCAGAAACTGTTTTACTGTAAGCTAGTGAGTATTTCCAGCGAGGCTTCCAGACCTGCGCAAGTGGAAAGGCTGCGAGTGACAGGAGGTGGTGGCTCAGTCTAATTAATGCAAAGCTGTGAACGTGGAGATAGTGCTCCCAGGGCTGTAATCACTCTGGGGGACTTTGAACACACCATGCACGTCTCTGGGCATAAAAATACATTTCCACAGGGAAATGATTGAGATTCCCCAACACCATTTTAGATTTATGTTCTCCCAGCGCCTTCGGGAGTGGCCATTGTAGTTGCTGAACAAACGCTTATCACAGAATATGGTGAGTGAAAATATTTCATACTGGCCCTTGTGAGGGTAACTTGCAGCAAAGGATTTAAAGCTGGGAAAAGAAATGGTGTCTGAGTGTTTTTAGGGCAAGATTTTTCTAGCCATTACTGCACTGGGATTGTAGCATGTTAAGAGCAGTTTTCATTTTCATTCCATATTGGGTAATGTCTCCCCTCCGCTGTGGCCTTTTCTGTTAACGTGCATCTGACTTTCAGAGCCCGGTGATACAGTAAAAGTTTTTCACTATTGCAACAAAATACTGAATTGGACAAAGAATTTTAAGCTAAAATAAATAGCCAAAAAAGGAAGGTTTCCATTAAACTCAATAAAAGTCATCTTGGCAATGAGGGTTTATTTAGACTGCAAGTTTGTCCTTCCAAATAAATACATAACTGTGATGTTATTCTCTGTAGTTTAAAGCATCGTTTTTCTAGAGGCACTAGCTGAAAAATGGAACAGCTTCAAAAGCAGTTGCAGGAGATCCACTTTGACCAGCACACTGTGCAGCTCAGCTCGCAGCAGACTGCAAAGTGCTGTGGTTTCTGGCTGTTCTGAAGGCAGACCTCCTGCTTCCCCCCTCCAAATTAAAATGGGCAGGTTTTTTTTAATCTCCTGTGCAGGAACTAATGTAGCTGACCTGATACGAATGGACTGTGTCCCAAGACCTGAAATGTGCTGAACCGGCTTTCACAAAACTGCACTGAAAGAAAAGTTATGCCATAGAAAAATGAGATAGAGCACTTTACTTTGCAGTATGTGTGAGGTTTAAAGTAGTTGTGAGCAAAATGAGCTATATGAAGACAGAGAATGAATGTAAAGGGACTGAGAAATGAAGTGCACAAAGCCAACGACACCGGAGGCTTTAATGTTGTCGATGTGTTCAGGGTTGAAATGTAGATCAGCACGCTCCAGAAGCGGAGGTTTAGGTACCTCTCTACTTGTGTGACCATCTCCTGTGTGTCTCCTAAAACTCGGGTGTTAAACACGACGCCTGCTCCCAAGCCTGAGGAAGCTCCACGGCTCCCCTCCGCCGCTGCTCTCTGCGATGCCGCAGGTGATGCCCACAAGTGCCACCAGCCTGCCCGGGGCCACTCCAGGACATGCTGTCCTCAACTGGGAGCATGTTTGTCCCAGCCCTCGAAGACCTGCAGGACTGCAGGAATGAAAAAGGCTTTTTGAGAAGATATGAGTGCCTTTGGTTCAAGAGCACAGGGGGAAAATAAGGTGCTGAACCAGCTGATCCTGATTCTCAAGCAGTTTGCGTGATGTTTCTTCATTTGAGTCTGTTAGAAGTAGGACACAGATTTGAATCTGTTTAATACCAAACCTCTTAATTGGCACCAGCAGCTTGATTTCACCCTATTTCAGATCAAGGTGTGAGTCTGAGCTATAGATTTATGAATGTTGGATGGGGGGGGGGGGGAGGGGCCACACAAAAAAAAAAACCACTACCCTTGCTCTAGAAGAGGATGAACCCAGAAAGCACCAAAGCTGCACCAAGAAACAAGCTGGAATAATTTCCTTGGGTGTTTGTGTGGTCCCTGTGCTAAGGTTGTTAAACCTCTTATTGCACACTCAGGCCAGCTGTGTTGAAATTGGTGTGTAAAGGAAAACATACAGGGCCAATGTAAATCACTGTCAGAGGCATCGGAGCTCAGACAGCTTTTTGAACTTGTCTCGGCTGCAGAGAGGGGCCCCATGACTGTAATAAGTCTGTCCTATGAGCATAAAAATCATCTTTAACCCCCTCAGAACTGGAAAGTGTTCTGGTGTTATAAGCCACTGTGGTGGAATCAAATCAAATCCTGAGGCAGTTGATCAAAATTAGCCACTGTCCCAAAAAGCTTGAGGCCAGCTATGTAGTGAGTGCTCAGGGGAAGCTTCGTGGTGTCTGCGGAGCTCCTTCTGTGGGAGCTCTCGTTGCAAAATAGCAGCCAGTGAAGAAAGCAAGTTTGAAAAAGCTTATGAGAAAGGGACACTTTCTTGGCCAACACCTCTGGTAACTCTGCTAATAAAGTCTTCACTCCTTTCCCTCTGCAATGGAGATGTAAAATGAGTACCAAGCTGTAATCCCATCTTAAATTTGAAGAGCCGCTTTTTATTTAGTGTGTAAATGGCAGGGCAATGGAAGTTATATGATACTTAGGAAAAGCCCTGTGAATAATTGCCATAGAGAGAAACAGCAAATTAAGTTAGTTTTTTAACAGTTCTTATTGGCAAGAAACTTGAGCTTGGAGTTGGAAAGCTGCTTGTGTTTGTTCTCGCTGTTAGATCTTGCAAGATAAGCAGGGCTGGGATGGATGGGTCCGGCGCTTTCCCTGGGGGTGACAACGTGGAGGCAGCTGCAGGGTCCAGCTCTCTGGTCCCCGAGTCGCCCAGGTCTGGTGCCTTGGGGAGGTATCGGGAGCCTTGGGAAAAGTACGGCCTCGGTCCTGTGTGATGGGTGCAGCATTGATCGGAGCCCGTCTGCCCTCGCTGACAGCAATGCCGGTGTGCCGGCAGTAGTGCTCTGCCAGCCGCTCCGCACTGAGCGTGGCAGCTTCACGTCCTTGTTCATGCAGACCAGAAATAGCTCGGCTTCTGCACCGTCCTGGGCTTTTACTCCTTCCTTGGCATGTGTCTTGGGACTACTTAGAGAAGCGTCTGAAGCCCTTCGCAGTGGAAGGAGCAGTGTGAGCAGACGTATCCCCTTTCAGACTCGCAGAAGAGCCAAGCCAGGAAACATTTTGTCTCTCCTCTTGTGCTGCCTTTGCTCGTTATACTGGATTTGCTGGTAAAATAGGAGATGACTGTCAGCGTGGTGGAAGTGCTCCAAGGGCTGCGGGACAGTTACTGAAAATCCAGACTGAACGAAGGAGGAAGCAATAGCAAAATGTGTGGTGTGCTAGAAATAATAGCAACGAAACAAAGAAAAGCCACTTGGTGGGTGTAAACAGGCCTCTAACCTTCTGCTGCGTAAAGGCAGAAATGAGTTTAAGAAAACTCCCTACGTGCAAAGAATAGTCTCTTTAGCACTCATGCCATGAACTAGCAAAAGGGGCTGGATGTGGTAGGGAACTTGTCTTTAGTCTGGCATTTGCAGAGCTCATAGGGAAACCCCACTCCCTCTGGGCTCCCAGAGAGGCTGTTTCTGCCACTGCTGCTTTACTGGGGTTGTAGCAGGGAGGATCACCGGGGGTCCTGTACTCCCAGCACAGTGTTTCCCAGGCTGTGGTGGCATCAGGGTGTTGTTCCTTGGGACATGGACCAGAGCTGCCCCGTGGGACATCCCCCTCCTCTGTCCCTGCCCCATCCCTGATATCCTCCTGGATGCCCTCCTCAGGAACTGGTAGCTTACCTTCTACTGAGAAACTTTATTTTTGTGTCTCTTCTACCCACCTGTTAGAAGGTTGTTGACTTAAATCAGAGCATTTGTAAGCAAAGTCATCATCTGAGCACAGAGAAATTCCTGACCCCTGACCCTGTGCTGCCTGGAGCGTGCTGGAGGGGGAACGCCGCTGTGCAAATGCTCCGGTCGGGCACAGCAGCTTCAACCACAACGCGTGCGACACGCAAGCTGCTTCACGCTGCGTCTTGGTTTCATAAAAGCCATAGCCAGACTGCTGTGGAGACTGCGAGTAGGTCTGGCCTTGCAGCCAAGGGCTCTGCTGGAAGAGACTCCAGCTGCTGCTTAAGAGCACTTCTTCTAGGGAGTGACAAAGCACAGACTCAGAAGCTATTAGCCTGACCTGGACTATCCAGACGTAAATAGGAACTTAAATAACAGCCCATCAGCTGCCAGCTTCAGAGAGGAGAGCTTTAAAGCTTGCACTTAACTCATCGCAGGATTGCTCTGCAGGCATGGGTAAAGAGTAAACCTGGTTGGTCTTGTGTGTGGTATGTGTAGATGCTAATTAATCTTCAGATTAGCCAAATCTAATTCTGTCTTTTTGGACTGTTATAAATTGAAAGCACTGTGCTGAAATCTGTAGAGTGACATCTGCCTTAGGCATAGAGGTATATATTAAAAAACAGTGAGAAAAGAACAAAGTTCACAATCTCTATGCAAAGTAACATCTCTGACGTGCTGTACTTCTGCACTATCAGATGTCTTAACTCTTTCTTGGAGAACCTTTGGATCTTAGTGAAGGTTGGCTTTAGCTTGGGGGGTGGGTCCCAAAGGCCAGACACTTAGCTGATGGTGGATAGTGCCATTCTTACCTGCCTGAGGATCTGGCTGCAAGAAAGTAAACAGTATTCCAGGGAAGGCTGGCAAATATATATATTTATAATGACTTTTAATAATATTACAGCTTGACACTCTGCCCATATGTAGCGCTGGTCCAAATGTTCGCACAGGGTGTAGGGCTATAGACTTGGAGGTGTTGGTTCTGTCAGCCGTGGGTGCCCTGTGATGCTCTCTGTGTTGCCTGAGTCTTGTTGCACAACTGAGATGTTTTTCCCAGCGCTTTTCTGGAGCTGCAACCATTGCCTTCTCTTCAGTTTAGCGTTTCCTTGCTCTTCCACCTTGCTGCACTCTTTCGATAGCCTCATTTTGGACCGGTGTGTTCACTGGGCCTTCCAAGCTGGTACAGCTGTAAAATCTGGCTTTGGTATTCTCAAGTTTCCCTTCGCAGAACAAGAGCTGAAACAAAAACAGCCTAAGCCACACAGCTTAGCAGTCGTGGAATTAGATGTTTTATTCCCACTGTCCTCCTCGGTGCTACGGGCTGTCGAGCAGGCGCACGGTGCGTCCTTCAGACTATGTAGAAGCGCGAAGCGTTGAGGACGTGCTTGGAGATCGCGGTGTTCTGTTTTGCTAACCCCGCTGCTTGCCAGCTGCGCGGTTAAGCACGACGTGTCGAAAAGACGCCGTGAACCAGGATGAGGAGTAAATACCCATCCCGCGCACCCACCATCGCCGCTTTCGCTCCCGCCCCGCGCTCACCCCGCTGCCTCTCCGTTGCAGCGCTGCGAGACCTGCAAGCAGCCGGTGCCGGCGGACTGCCCGGTGGTCTACGCCGACAGGGCGGGCTACTCCCGCCAGTGGCACCCGGCGTGCTTCGTCTGCTGCCGCTGCTCCGAGCCCCTCGTCGACCTCATCTACTTCTGGAAGAGCGGGGCCGCCTGGTGCGGGCGCCACTACTGCGAGAGCCTCCGGCCGCGCTGCGCCGGCTGCGACGAGGTAGGGACCGGCCCGGGGGTCCGGCCGCCGGCTCGTTCCGCTGGGAGCGGCATCCTTCTGGTGCTGGGCACCAGGTCCGCGGCTGCCCTGAGGAGCTGGCGGTGCCTAAAGAAAATGGGGTGAAGCAGCGGGACGTTAACGACAGTCTCGGCTAGCTACGCCGTATCTGTCTCGGAGCGAGGGTCCGGCTCTAGCTGCGTTTAAAACCTGATGGTTTTGTAGTGCTTAGCTGCAGCCCGTGACTTTGGCGCAGTTGCTCAGAAGCGGTCCTGTGCTTTATTTACTCGTTCCCAAAGCCTGGCCCCCGCAGCTAACAGGCTTGGTGGGAGGCACGGGGCTGGTTCTCTGTGCTCCGGCTTGGTGAGATGGTGGAAATAAGCAATTTTCTGTCTGTCCCATAGATCATCTTCTCGGAGGACTACCAGCAGGCAGAAGGGATGACCTGGCACAAGAAGCACTTCGCCTGCCTGGAATGTGAGACGCTGCTGACCGGCAAACCCTTTACTCTGGACAACGCCAGCCTCCTGTGCACGACCTGCAGCAAAAGCAAACGCCTCTGAGCGGGGAGCAGCCCAGGGGCGAAGCGGGCTCCCCGAGGTCCCACCAGAACTGGGGTCATTTCTCGAGTAAATGAGAAGGGGAAGCTTAAAAAAAAATTAAAGCCTGGCTATTCACTTGCAAGCAACTAAGTGCCCCCTTGCATCCCATACAGCTTGCAGGAGAATATTTCCTTGGGCAGGATGCAAAGAAAACTCGTACGCCTGCGGGTGAGAGGTACACGGCATATCTGACTAGGAGGGACTGAAAAGGAGGTTCTGTGTTATGCTGGTTTTTTATAAAGTCTCTCTAAGCTTCTTATGACTAAGATCTTGCAATAGTCTTTTGGAAATAACGCATCTCAAAAGTATCTTTTGGCATGCTAAACCTATGGTCATGGTCAAAAACAAGGGTGGTTCATATTTTTTGAAATCCATACTGGAAGTTTACACTAACAGACTGCTGACAACTGTACTAAAGCAGCGGGTTTGAAGAGTTTGATTAACCCGGGTGATTACTTTCTGAAAGCAAATGATAGAAAATTGCAGCAACGTGTAGCTGTAGCTTTCTCCTCCTAAGAGTACAATAATGTAAAAATAACAAGTTGGCACACAGGGCAATTGGTTTAACCCTGTTGAGATGGGAAAGGTGGAGCTCTGCCACGGGGCAGCTGACTGGCCCAACCCCTGTGAGCTTTAGCCCTGAAACTGGAATGCAAAAGCATTCCTGGCAGATCCCACCGACCCGACTGGGCTCCCCAGCCTCTCGCCTGCCTCCGACTGCCTGTTACTGCAGGCGAGCGTGTTTCCACAGAGCAACATTGTGTTCCTACTGTGATGCTGGAGGTCGTTAAACATTTAAAGTATGGGCCTTTATTTTGGCTGGGTTTGACCAGGAATTTTATGGAAAACAGCTTTCCAGCCTAAGCTGTCTTGGGGGGGTGGGGGGAGACACAGTGCCTGAAATGCTGCAGTGCCAGTTTTTCCCCTGTAATATGTCAGTGACCCCCTCCAAGTACAAGGGAACCGTACCTTCCCCTGGGAGCTGGCAGCACCCTCGCCCTGGGCTCTGCCCTGCTCCTTGTCCCGCAGCTCTCCCATCCCTAGGGGAGGTCCCCGTCACCTCTTGGATCTGATGGGGTGACACCATCCCAGGATTCGGCACTGAGTCTCTGCGGATAGTATTTGTTCCCTACATCAAGCGATGCTTCTGGTAGTCACTGAAAATATCAGATAGTCCAGGCTGGTAGGTGTCTGTGTGCTCAGTCTTTTTTCTTATATTAAATGTCTACATTATTTGCTAGAGAACTGGAATATTTTTTTGCCAAGGTGAGTGTGCAAGGAGCTCACAATTGCTAGGTTTTCCTTCTGCTACAGAAGTCGCTGGTTTCTCTTTAAAGCATGCTCCATGCTGTGGATGTTTGCTTGCCTATGATAACATAACTAGCAAATGAGAGTTGGGGGAAATTGTACCTGCTGCAGGGTTAGAGCGTGTGAGCTGCGGGCCAGACTCTGCCCGGTTCATCGGGGGATGCCCCGCTCCACTGCTGGGGAGGAGCAGACCAAGTCCATCACTGCCTTTGAGTAGGTGAGACCGACGTGGTGTAAAGACATACCTGTATGTGGGGTGCGAGTGCCTCTTGCGCTTTGCCCAGCCCTGTGCTGTTGCGTGGCTGATGTTCCTGGAAACACTGGGGGATTTAAAGAGAGTAAATGAAATGCTGCTGCTGGAGTGGAGCAGGAAAATCCCGAGGTAGCAGCTGTAGCTGTGGGGGGGTGGATGTGTGTTGCAGGGTATGGTGGTGTGCATGTTTCTGGGGTCATTTGTCCATCTCGAGTTAGTCAATGGATGTGTTGAGTGCCTGGGGGTGTTGCTTCTGTAAACTCACTCGGATGCTGCAAGTCAAGAGAGGATGAGTAGACCTGAAGTTGTGCTAGGTATAATAAAGCTCCCTTGGATCAGCCTTTGGTTATAAGGAAAGTGGGAATGAAAAATAAAGCCCAGCACTTAGCTTTACTGCCTCTTCTTCATTTTGTTACAAACGAAATGTCTTTACATCTTCGTTAATTTTTTAAGATGCATTGTTCTAAACCCTGTGATGTTAAGGTAGCCAAAAGTGCGTGCACTCAGTGTAAGCAGTGAGAGGAATAGTGTGAATCACCTATGAAATGCTATTTCAGCATAGGCATTAACATCTAAAACAGCATTCCCTGACGGAAGGTCAGTGTCCATCTGTGCACACAGCTGGTTACCTCTTGCAGTGATTTGCCTAGGAGGTAGGTGCACAGCCATTACACAGATGCCTGGAAGAAAATTAAATGCAAAAAAAAAAATCAACAAAACATCAAGTTTTTAAAAGTGAAAGACTATTAACTAAACTACTGCTATCACAGAAAACTCAATAACGTGTTGCACTCTTCTCCCTGGGTGTTTTTGGTTTGTTTTGCCTCGGCTGGCTGCACGATCCTCACAGGGTTTGTGATACAGTGAGCACAGGGGACGGGTGAGCCAGACCCCAGCTGCAGCGGGGTGTTCCTTCAACTGGGGGAACTGGGATGCTGGCTGTCGGCCGTCCCTGCTCCAGAGCTGCTGCGTGGTCCCCCTTCCACCACAGCTGGGGTTAAAACACCAGCAGAGGCTCGCAGGGAGGCGGTGGAGAAGAGGTGGTGCTTGTTTTCTCTGCCGCAGAAGAATGTGCGTGGTGGGAGCTTGGGTAAATGTCAGAGCGGAGGCGCGGGGAGAGGACGGGGTTTTGGGGGGAGCGCTGGCACCCCAGGGCGGCAGTGGGGAGGGGGTGTAACTCCGAGAGCGGAGCCTGCCGCCCCGTCCGGCACCGCGTTGCTGCCTGCCGTGGTGGTGGGTGTCCCTGCCCTCGTCCCAGCCGTCGCTCCCGGGGGCTGTGAGGGCAGGGCTGGGATGGTATCGGAGCGAGAGAGAGGTCCAGTCCACTTGAGGTACAAGGATTGTCCCCAGTGATATCGCCTTTGCTGGGCTTATCTTACCGGACTGTGACTGTAGCCCACGCGCAGTAGCATCAACTTCTGATGCAGTCTATCTCCGTTAACGCAATCCTCCATCGCTAATGCCTTTGCTTGGCTACTTGGAAAAAAGATACCACTGTAGCATGTTCTGGTTTGGGTCTTGATTTTGTGATCTTTAAATTGTAATTCTTCCCCTCTGAAGTCCCTCTTTCAGCATACACGTGCTTGCTTCAGGCTTTTTGGACTGCTGGCATCCACTTGAGCCTTTCAGGTATTTCTGCAGCTTGTTAAATACTGTCTGCCAAAAAATCTACTGCAATTAAACAGCTTAACAAAATCCTGTGCCTCTCAAGTGTCAGGAGCAAAAGCATGAAATTAATGCATCTAACAGCGTCAAAACATATGTGAGTCTTTAGTTTTGATACTAAAATTGAAATTCAGTGTAAGCATGAGAAGATATTCACCCTGAGTGAAGACATTGTGCTGTGTTTTGCTATGGTTTATCATCTAGAACAAAGGAGGCTGCTGCAGCTGCCTTCTGCAGGTCACAAGCTCTGGTTTTCAAGGAAGGTAAATTTACGGGGGTATCCTGGCCTGTCTTATAGAGAGCTGTCAGCGAGCAATATACGGAGGGTCTGTACAGAAAATTGATAAAAATTGAGATGTTTCATAGGGTTACTATGTGTGACAGGAATAGACTAAAGGCAAAGACTGTGTTGTGTGACTATTTGAAAAGCATCTTGTGCCACTGCTGTGTCCTGTCCATTGTTTCAAATAAAAGCTCCTGTACAAAGACCGCTGGATGCTGTCTGGCTGTGTGCGTGACCTTTAGCTGCTGCAGGTGGCTTTGGGACCCCCGGTGAGGGGGTCCGTGCACAGTGCAGCACTCCAGCCCCCAGTTAATGTGATCTCCTTCGCCACCCACAGCAATGGTCTCTGATGGAGGACGGTGTCAGCAATGCCACTTGCTGATTCAGCTCATCTGCATCATGCTGTGGTCTTTAATGTCCCCGCACCTCAATAGCGGTGTTAAGCCACCTGTAACACTGCTGTTGCGAGATGATGAGATGGGCTCATCTCATTACACTGCTATTCTGAACATGCAAGTCTCTTCTCATCAAGTAGGGAGATGAAAGAATAATGAAGAAGCAGGCAGCAGAATGGGGAGTGGGATACGATGGGATGCTCACACCCTGTCAGCGGGGAGCGGGCATCTCCCAGGACTTGCCACGGCCCGCCGTGCTCCTGGGGGGCAGCTGGAGGAGAGCTGTGTTTGTACGCAGCCCTGAGCGAGCAGCTCACCCGTGCACGAACAGCTCGGGTGTAAAGCCTCTCACCTGGCCGTGGTCGGGCGGCCAGGGTGAGAAGGACCTTAAGAGACAGGTCTCTGTCCATGGTCAGGATGCTGCAGGGACATTAAGCTTTCAGAGCGGCTTCAGTCAGAGGCGTGTGCAGTCTCTGCAGCTGTTCCCCTGTGCCAGGCGCGCTGGCTGTGTGAGTTTGTTTGTTTTCTCCCCAAGCTTTGCACTGGGTTCCTTTAACTGGAAAATCCAGGCACTTGGATGCTTCAAGCTGCTCGTCCTGGCTGCACCAGGTTTGCTCTTTGCCAAGTGAGACCGGACAGGACGGGGTGAGGGATTTCGTAATGGCCACGGACAGCAACAGGTCTCACTGCACCGACCGAGCACCGCGGTGTGCCGAGGACCTCAGCCACCCTTCCCGGGGAGGTGGCAAGGCCGGGGGTGACAGTGCCACGGGGCTGGTAACGTTTTCTGTGCTGCTGACACGTGAATTTCAGTGCTGCTGTGAAACCTCTCTGTGGACATGGACGGTGCTCATTTCAACGGCTGCGGCATGGCACAGGGGTCCTGCACGGACGGTGCGAAGCGCTGGTGTCTGCCGGTCTGTAAGAGCTGAACCGGTGAGCTGAACTTCTCCCCTGGTGGGGTTTTAATATTAATCTAGCTCTTTCACAAAAGCATAGGATAAATTGTCTAACAGTCAATTTAGCATCACGTATTTCAGTAACTGATACCAGTGTT